GCTGCAAGCCCGCGCACAGCTCCAGGGGATCCTACCCGGGGGAGCAGAGTGAACGGCTGCTGGGGCCCAGCCAGAGTTTTCTTGGCCTTTTTTATGCAAATCTGGAGGTGGGGGGAGCAAGGGAGGAGCCAGTGGAGAGTAATCTGAGGAGGGCTGGTCCCCGCTCTCTCGGTCTGGTTTTCCGTTGAGAATGCCCCTCACGCGCTCCCTGGGAGGAAATTCTGGCCCCCCCCCTCCCCCGCCAATCCCCTTCAGATGCTGCTGAGCGCGCGCTCTAGGATTGCTTTAAACAACAAACAAACAGACAAGCCTGGCAGCTGCGCCCCAACAGTGAGCGTGTGGGGCGCGGGCTTCGGGAGATCGGGGGACACCAGGTCCCAGGGGGAACGCTCACCGCCCCCCGCCGGGCTCGGGCCAGGGTTTGTTAGACCCCCATCCTGAAGTTTCTACTCTGGCCCCCGGCTGCGCGGCGGAATTTCATCCTAGGGCACAAGTCCGCGGTTACCCGAATCTTTGTGCCTTCGGCTTGCGCCCAGGACCTGCCAGCCCCAGGCCGCCTCCGCGAGGTTGGTTTCCTCTCGAATCTACAGCCAGTTACCCACCTGGCTTATCCCGTACGGTGTGCTCCCCTTGCCCTTTTAAAAACAGAATAATCTACAAAGTCATAGGAGCAAAACATTGACATGGAAAATGAAATAAAACGGGGTCGTTGAATTTTGTTGAGGTCAGAGAGGCCTATACAGAGTCCTTCTGAATCACACACGGCTGCCACCATTCCTCGGTTGGGGGAGGAGACCTGCCCTCGTTCCTTAAATGAATGGGATGACTCAAAGCTCGAAGGCATCACAGGCCCTAACACACACAGGCCTTGCATCGGGGCGCTCAGGAGAGCCGGAGGATGGACCCCAGGGCATGGTTTGGAAGAGCGAGTGCTGCTTACAAGGGACTGGCGGAAAATGCGCCAGGTGCGCAGATTGTGAAGGGGTCGGGGTCAGAGAAGGGAGCCCTGCCTAGAGATCCACAAGCGCCAGTCGTGGCCTTGGCAGAATTGCTTCATTCCTCCTACATATACTGGGCGTCGCCTGTTCAAGAGTAAACAAAAAGGCTGGCCTCGGCCCTCGTGGAGTAGGGGCGCTAGTGCCCTTGAGGACTGCAAACGGTAAGTTCGCAGCTGTAAACCGGGACTGTGACGCCAGCAGAGGGAAGGTATGTGGTGGAGGGGCTTTCTTCCCTTAATCGTCCCAAGTGTCTCCTAGAGGTTGGTCGTCTCCGCCCCCTCAGCCTCCCTAGCTAGGTGGCGGTGCCGATCCAAAGAGATAATTCCGGATGAGCGAGCCCCCCAAAGTTCTTTCATATGTAAGGTGGGCGCATTGTTATTACCTCCCCGCCACTCAGAGCCATCAGCAGGCCCTATCCGCAGCCTCTCTAGTTCCTTCCGCGGTCCGCACCCCCCTCGGAAAGACGCTTTGGCCTTGGAGGCCCTCCAGGTCTGAGTTGCCGGTTCGCTTTGTGGTCCCACTGCTTAGAGGAGGGGTTTAATGTGTGGTGGCGAAAGCCCACTCTGTTATCTCCTGCTCCTTCCTAGCACGGAACACATCGGGAAGATCGCCATCTGGAAGGAGAGCATATTCTGGATTCCAAGAGTCTGAGACTCTAAAAGTCCAGCTTCCATCTTTTCTCCTTTGACACGCATGCTTTGCCGGGGAAAGGCCGGGAGCTACAGCAAAGGCCGCTCCGCCGCCGAATTGGTCCTGGGCCTTTTCGTTTCTAACTAAACTGCCAAGAAGCCAAAAAAGCTCCGCTACCCGACACACACTACTTTGAAAATAAACCCCAAATGAAACTGAAGCATTTCGAATCAACCAGCTAAACAGAGCCTGAGCTGGGAAAGATGCTGGGACTTGGGCCGCGGGTGGGATGAGGGCCTTCCAACTTCCACCGCCCTGCCCCAACGCCTTCCTCTGGAGTCGCCTGGGCCCCTCACACCTCCTAGCGCGGGGCTCTAGGAGCCCAGAGCGGATTAGTCTTGTCTGAGACTGGGCACCGCCGCACACCCGGGAGCCGCACTGGTCCGGGAGCCGCACTGGTCCAGGAGCCCCGCGGGCCTGCGCGGCTGGCGGCATTGTTTCCGGAGCCCGCGTGGCCCACCCTGGCCGCCAGGGGGCGCCGGAAGCCGCACTGGAGTCTCCGCGCGCCGCGCCTACTGTCCGGTTCCCGCCTGCCTGGTTGCGGGGTCTGCGGCCTTCCTCGCACCCACGCCACTCAGCCTCGACTTCACCCATGACAGTTTTCATCTAATTTCCCACCTCGGTAGCGGCCCACTCTCTTCCCTTCCCTGCTTGTTCGCGCCACGGCGAGCGCATGTCCGCGTGACAGGCGCGCGCGCGGGTCGAGCTGATTCCGGAGGCAGGAGAATAACCTCCCACCGCAGCTCCGACGCGAGCGCGGACCTTGTGAAAAGCGCACGAAAGCGGATGCTTGGTGACTGTCTCAGCTTTCCTCCCCAGCCGGGGTCGCTATGCAACCACAGTGACGCGTGCACGTGGTGCAGCCACAGCGGGGAGCCTTCATGCACCCGGACCACTCTGCCCTCTCGGTTGGCCCTTGGGCCTACGGGTCTCTGCAGATTCTTGTCACTTATAGAAAACCGCAAAAAGGCTTTTGCTTTTACAAACCAAGAGTCAGTGCTTACCATTGCACCCCCAGTCCATTTAGTGCTTGCACGTTTTTCAGAACGGAAACTATTCACCTAAACCGAGGGTAAGAGGTGATGAGTGCCCACTTCTCCAGGCAGCCTGCTTAAAGGGGGCTGCCTATCCATGGGTCCCTGTGATGGGGTTGGTCCTCTTTCCTCCCCCCGGGCTCTACCACATAGCCAGTGAACAACATCCCACCCAAATGCCGAAGGCTTGAAGATGAGCTTCGACAGTCAGTGTTCCGGATTTGGCCCCGCCGCTCTGCTTGAGTGTTTCTGGTGGCTGAGGCACAGAAGAATCTGGAGGAACAAATAAAGTTCCCGCACATCTCGCCAGAATAATTCGGCTGTGGTAGGTACTAGAGTTTTGGGGCCGGCAGGACCTTCACCCTCACTTTTTTTTTGCGGACGGAGGTCTCTGACCCCTGCTTCTGCTTTTCATCTGTGGAGAGCTGGGGAATGGAACCTCGCGCTCCCGCTCGCGAATAGTAGAGTGAAGGCATATGGACTCGTTTCTGAGAGAGAGAGGGTGCAAGTGCGAAGGGGGAGGACAAGTGTAATGTGCTAGTTTCTTAACTCTCAAAATCCAGCCCTGGCTATAGACAAGCAGCCTCGAACTGGAAACAAGCTTCTTAACCTTCTAATGACCACCTCTGACCTACCCTGTGTGAGATAGCACAAGGATCGCAAGGTCTGGGCGGTTCTCACTAAATGATTCTTAACCTTCTAATGACCACCTCTGACCTACCCTTCCTTTCATTTGGAAAGATTGAGTTTCCCTGTGTGAGATAGCACAAGGGTCGCAAGGTCTGGGCGGTTCTCACTAAATGTTGTCCTTGCTAAATGTTAAAATGTAGCACAGTATTTTGCAGACACAGCAGACACAAATGAGCTCGACCAGGAGCACAACTGGATAAGTTTAGCCAAGTGAAAGAAGAAATCAACAAGTAACTAAACCAAATAGTATATATAAGTAATGGCTAAACCTCCCTTAGGGTAGACAGAGCTTTGGTTATGAATCCCCTGTCTCCTTTGCTTGCTGCAAGTAAATAAAACTACCTGTACCCAAACACTTCTCCTTGAATACAACACCCTAAGCAGCGAACCACTTGAGTTCAGGAACACCTGCTCCTTATTAAAAGGACGGCCTCCTCGGAAGCTTTAAGCCTTTTATGGCAACTCCTGAGTCAGGAAGGATGCTGTTAGCCAGGGCAGGCCTTGGGGGCAGCCTGGGGATGGCGATCTGTGCCCATGCCAAGAGACTGCAGGAACAGACTGACTGCCGGCCCCTTGTCTCCTGGAATCCTCACTGGCACCTGGCAGGTGAGTGTGGGCTATTGTCATTTTGCAAATTCGTAAGTAGTCACCAGGAAACTGAGGCACGGAGGGGTTATGTAACCGGAATGTGGTCACATTGTGAGTGGTCCAGCTGCTGGCTTTGGGGACCCATCTAGACCTGTTGGGTGTTTTCCAACAGTGTTGTCGCTTGGCTTTCATTCACAGGCAGGCCGGCGGGGTGGGTGACTTCACGTTATCCTCCTGGGACCGCAGTCTGGGGGCCATCCTTGCTCTGGTGGGGCGGCGTGGCATGCGAGCCAGAGCATCTCTAGGTGGGATTCGCGGCAGCCATCTGGGCGCACTACTTCCCAAACGGATGGTTCCAGTGGGGTTGCAAATTGGCTTCCCTTACGCAGTGGAGGCTGAGATCTTTTACATTTTACGTGTTGGGGCGTGAGGCCGGCTTTTCGGGGGAAAGGGTTGGGTTACTCCATTCTTTGGCCTTTGACCCTCACTGCACTGGCTGGGAAGCTTCCCAGGCAAACGCACGCGGGGCAGGTGCCCACAGCGCCCTGGCTGCGCGCTCTGTGCTGCCTCGGGCCCTTGGACCCCCAGCGGTAAGACCCGGATTTTCGATACCGAAGTCCTGGCCTGTGACCGGAGAGCCTTTGCTTTACATTTTAAGAAGAGTCAAATCTAAGTGTTAACAGTTTTCCAACTGCCAACCTGAGCCGTAGCGCGTATCTCCTTTAAGATTTCAAGGGGCCGGCGGGCCCCAGATTCGAGCTGAAAAAGCAAACTAAGGGTCCAGGGAGGCTCTTACTTGACGGGTGCGGGGGCCACCAGGCAGGCCTGGCCCTGGCCGTGCCCGCTGTACT